AACGACGACGTTAACCAAACGAACGATTCTGCGATTTTAAAATAACCGTCCCCTGTAAGAAGTTAAGGGCTGTGTAAATCGGTGGTTTGTGCTCGCCCTTGGCCCTTGGCTCGAAAACTAGTTGCAGATATAAACTGTCCTCGTTAGGACGCGCCTTAAAGCAGGAATAATTTTCATCCAGTGGCAAATGGCTAACTTATTCAGTAAGGCCAATTCAAAGGTCCTTATTTCTACACCTTTGATTTCAGAACTTAAACAGACCCAATTACAAAGAATCTCAAAGGAGCGGGATTACTTCTTACAGCTACTCAACAAGAAGACCGAGGAGGTAGCTGCACTGAAAGCTACGCAAGCGAAAACGCCCGAGCCCGTCAGTCCACCCCCTATTAATACTTGAAATTATTCCAAGTTGACAACCAGAATGTTTGTCGCTTCTTGCAAATTTTCGCAAGTTTGTGTTTTTAAATTCTTTTTTTCTAGACGTACGGCCGAATTGTAGGTCGAACAAAGTAACTTAGGCAACCGCTACTTTTAGCTCAGTCTCTAATTGGTACTTTGCCCTCTACTCTTAGGATAAGCATCAAATCGGTTATTCAAGTCATCGTTACATGTTGAATATTCTTGTTTGTAGCATGTCCTTAGTTGTCTCTGAAATGGTAGTGATACAGGGCAAGACATGGCGATATTCTTTTATTCGCTTTTATATTCTTAAGTAGGATACTAGCTTAATTGTTACTGGTGTAGTTATCTAAGTAATCGTTGTGCTTAGATCACTACAAACATCAGGGCGAATCTCAGGTTGGAGGTATAAGACAGAAATCACCAGAATGGGGGCTTTATTGTGTACGGAAACCTGCGTTGCTGTCTCAGACAGCAGAGGCCGCTGGCGAAGCCAGGGCTGGTGTTGACTGCGTCCAGTCGCGCCTGAGAGTGTGTGTGTGATGTGAAAGAGGTGATGATGACAGCTGCTTTTACATGACTGTGAAGCGAATTCAGATGGTCTGCCATTAGTGTGTTGTAATTGCCGGAAGGGGCTGTCGATCGTAGAGGCCGCCTGCTGCGTGGCCGCAGGGTGGTATGTTGAAGTGGCCCTTGAGAAAATGCGATTAGTTGTTCATGCGTGTGCGCGCCTGTGTGCGCACGTGTGTATAACTGAATATCGGTCAAGAGGTCTTCAGGTCCGCGGGTGGGAAAAGCCACCTGCTAAGACACATGACGTTAGAGGCTGCGGGCACTGAGCTAGGAAGGGGATAGCATTTTTGGCCGTCTGCCACACTGGCACACCTTAATGCACTGCAAAAATACTTGACATTGGTCAACCCTCTGGAACTGAGTTTAGGTAATTGCAAGGGATTTGATCGCATTTTCACATTGAAAGACAACCAGTTTCCCTATCGACAGCTGTATTAAAACGAAAGGAAGATAGAGTCCGCAGTGGCTGGGAGGAAGGCAACTGGTGATATCGGCCAAACTCTGTCGAACCATGAACCTTATAGGGATTAGTTGGCGCCCTTAACCGTGGGCCTATCGGGCCAGAGCGTTCGAGCGAAGAAAAAGCTTACTGACTAAGATGGTGTTCTATATGACAGAGGGTTGTGCTGTAGGCGGCTGCGGCTGCTGGAGAAATAGCTGTAAGGTTTTGAGTGTGAATACTTACTGCTCCTCTAATTAAGTACAGTAGATTCCCTGTTTCATGAAACGTTAACCGAAATTCTCAAATGTGTATGCGATTAGACCGGATAACTTAAGCTGGATTGTAATGCTACTCATTTTACAGTCTAATCTCGAGATATTTCAGTGACACCAGGATGCAGGCTCTTTAACGAGGCTTCTTCTCATTGCCGGCAGAAAGAATATGCTGTGAAAAATTGCCAATTTAGTAGTACGTATTTATCTCATTTATTTTGTTTGCACTTATAAATTCAAATAGATTTTATGGGCAGCGTAAGCAAAGATATTATATGTTGAACTCATTTTGTAGAAAACTACACTTCTTTAGATTCAATACTTAGAGAATGAGAGGGTATATCTAGGTTTCAAAAAGATTTTTAAATTGCCGAATACTTTTGAACCCTACCAGCTGTTACATTTGAATTCTAGGTTACCAAATCACATGCTGTATTCAGTCAGTCTAGAAAAAAAGCAGTTCGGCATGAGGATGAGTTCCCATAGTTTAAAAAATGTTGCAATGGATTTGGATGAAAGATTCGATATAGATAGAGAAAGAACATTTAACAATCTTAAACAATCTCATAATTCGCAAACTTTTAAAACCGAGAGATATCCTTTCATCAAGTAAAATATTTGAAGGAGGCAAAATGTTCTACCAAACGAGCACAAAAAGGATATTTTCGTATTTTGTTTCTAAAAACTATAAGTAAATTTATAACTGCGGTAAAAATCAATGAGGAGAAGGCATACTACTTAAGGAACCATTTTCAATAGGGCGCACCCTAAGCAGGCGGTCAAAAAGGAAGCTAGCTCAAAGACCGGTATCCTTGCGTGACTGAACTATTAGGAGATTATGTAGCACATTGATAAATTTTACAACCCTAATTAAGTAATTTGTTCGAGTCGAAAACATATTTTAGAAGTTGGGTGACGTGTCATGAGATAGGGAGTCTACCGTGAGTTCAGCAGTTACATCGGCTAGGGTAATGGATACTGAGATGGTCGATTCAGTGTTATCAGCTGATACTGGCTCACGATATTCCAGCCTCGGGGGATTTTTCACTCAAAATCTGAACGTCAAGCAGGACATTGAGGATTCCACTGTCCTATTCTAACCAACCAATGGGTTTTTTTCTAGCTGGCGCGCGTTTCATCTCCGGGAAGATATGTGAAGACGTCAATTGAACCGAAAATTGTGCTGTCCTCGGAACCCCAAATAGCCGTGAGCACTACGATGCATATTCAGGAGGGTAAGTTTGCCTAAGCAGCACTTCTGCTTCACTTTCCAGCGGCCTGCGCAGAAAAGTTTAATGCAGCGCCCTTTTGGTCATACTCATCAGTAATCAGTAGGGGTGAAATGAAACTCAGAGTCTAAATAAAGCTTGCAGTAAGCAAGAAACATTTGGCACAGACCTGGTCAGTAGGAATTATGACAAAGTAGACTTACAAAATTTACGTCATTTCGTTTAACTGCTGGAATACGCGCAATCAGGAGACACTTTAAGTTGGTATAGCCGTAAAGGCGGAGCGTATGATTTTGACTGGACGTCCGTAAACAGTCATATACGCATATACATTTGAACATGCGAAGCCTCCGTTTTCATAAAAACGATTACCTGTATGTATTTATATGCATTCAATAAGGATTTCTTATATTGCCCCCTAAACAGAACACGGAATAGGAACGTCTTGGTTAGCTAATAAAGATGCAATTGCGGGCAATTTAAGTTTTCAGTTTCAGTTTATTTGGGGAGGATAATAGGCAATGCCTTTGAAAACCCTATTCAAAACGTGTACAACACCTATAAAAATTTACCAC